GAGATGGGACAAATTTGAGGCAGGGAAATTTTGAGACAGAAACTTTTGGAGACAGGGACAATTTGAGACAGATACATTTTGAGACAGAGAGAATTTGAGACAGAGTCACTTTAAAAATTACATTCATGTGTTTCTCCTCAATATCTTATGTTGAAGGTGAGAAATGAAACAAAAATTGCACTGTTTGGTCTAATTGTATTTGAATTTAATTTTCCAAAAGACAAGGAATCAAGACAATCATTCGAAAAATAATTGAAGTAGTACAGCAACTAGGATTCTTCTTCAACTTTGCCCTTGAATGAAAACAGAAGAAGGGTAATAAGGCTTTTATTTTTATAAAATAAAGTCCTATTCACTATTATAGTTCTACTTTCTTAGAAGTCTTTTGGTTCTAAGAAGGTTCGCGTTCTTTAATTCGCATTTTCTTTTTTTCTCACATTCACAAGTCTCAACGAAATAACCCTGACAGAGTTTAACAGGGACATACTATAACAGTCTGTTTCTAAATGTCCATGTCTCCATTTGTCAATGTCTATCCATTTGTCATTGTCTCAAATGGTCCCTGCCTCAAGTTGTCTGTCTAGATTTGTCCAGTCTTGAATTATTCGTCAAACCATTAAAAATTCCGGTAGCTGATTTTCCTAACTCTGAGACAATTTTATTTATTCATCAGGAATTGTGCTAATACTGCTCTGGAAATAAAACCTCGTAAACGCAGTAAATGCTGAATTGGAATAACATTTGCTGGAACTCTCCAACTCTGCTAAAAAAAATGCCAAAAGCCGCGCAGACTTGAGACAAAAACTCCCGTAAACTGCGTGCTAAAATTTTCTTCCTTTTCGCACGTTCCTGTTATAACCACCTTGGCTTTATGCGTAATATCGTCAGCACAAAGCCCCGATTTAACAGGTGTCATAAACCAGTCTTCGTAACGATTATGCGCGATATTTTATATACGAGTGAAACGAACTCAGTCACGAGGTCGTGAGGTTTTCACAGCTATAGATTCACCTCAGGCTTTTGCAAAGTGGCTGTCTTTTTCAGAGAAATATTTTTACATCGGGCAATATATGATCCATGCTAGTGTTAAAATTGGATGATGACTAGGGCGAGACGGCAAAATGCTTAGAAATTCCCATTCCGGGATTTTATCAAGTGGATTCGAGGAATAAGAAGGGGTTTTTCCGTCGGCTGTCCAGCACAGTCCTGATGTGGTGCCAGGGAAAAAGGCACCCTGACAAAAATAACCCCGGAGAAAGCCCTCAACATTGACCCGCAGTTTTGAATTATTATTGTTGCTTTGACGGCGCCTTATTTTTCTTTCGATGCTATTCTGCATGAACAGATTTCATATCTTATTATGAACAGGTTTTGAAGAAGCTTACAACGAGTAAAACCTTTTCAAGTCAAATTCAAAAGGATCCGGAAACAAGATTTGACGCAGGGAGTTTTTGAGTGAGGGACACCATCATTTTTCCTGGGAAGAAATCAAGAATTACAGTATAGTTAAATTGGTGACCTGAAACTGTCAAGTAAATTAATTTGCAGGATCCATTGCTTGAATTGGAGGGAAGTGTGCAGTTGCCCGATTAATTACTTTATTCATTTCGAAAAACATCTAGTTATATTTGTAGATTTCCTTTCTATTTCGTGGATTTTCAGAATAATAGCCCAAAAAGTTCAAGAAATTCGAATTACTTTATTGAGGTTTTCGGAGGAAAATCTTCAAATTATGGAGGTCTAAATATCAGTGTTTTCAAGGGCATTCATGAGACAGGAACTATAGAATCATTTGACATTCTCAGCTTTTTTTTTAGTTAGTGAGGTTCAAAGAATGTTAAACTTATCGTACAAGAAAAAATTCAGTTTTTTTTGTTCAGTGGAAATGAAAAAAAAAATTTTGCGTGGCGTACAAAAGATTCAGAGACAAATGCCCGCGGAAAGCATGACCCAAGAAAAACAGTCACAAGAAAACAGGACAGTGGTCGTGACTACGTTGTCAGATGCTCCGTGACTATTTTCAATTTTGTACATACGTTCCGGAACTTGTTTGAATGCGATTATGTCCAAACGTGAATAAATTTTCTCGTTAGAACGAAGGGTCCGGAGATTTCAGTGTTCAGCGTGATTCAGCAAAACGATGGTCGCCGGTTCCGGATCCAGCTTTTGAATCATCAAGTTCAAGTTTTTGAGAGAGAGAGAGAGAAAGAATCAATGCCAAGGTTTCCGCCGCGCGGAACATGCAAATATCTTTCTGATAAACTTGGGGTTGATGTTTACTGTGTATCCCAGAAAAGAAGGCAGATTTGATATTAATTCTTCTTCATGGAATGCATAGTTGAAAATGAAGATAAATATAATTCAGAAAACCAAGGTATTTACTCAACCTAAGTTATTTGAAGCGCAAATCGTCGTTTTCGCACTTCGAATAGGCCCAATGTCCAGAAAAGAACCACATTTGTGAAGAAATTGATGCATTGACATAAAGAAAGAAATTTAAAAAATGGATTCGAAATGCTATTATCTGGATTAATTTTCTTTCTGTCCCTGTAATTAAAATAAAGAACACGCATAATTGGTATCATCGACCAGACTCTTTTTGTAAATTACTGTACTGTAGTTCCAATAAGGAAAAGCGACTACCCAAATTTTTATGATTCTGCACGCAACTTATTGCAGCCAAAAAAAAAAAAGAGGTGCACACAATTTACTGTATTTTGACGGTTCTTTTGAAATGTTCTCAGAGATGAACTCTGCTCAATAAAGAATGCTTTTATATAATTGGTGCGATTCTCACATTGAAAAGCCTGAATTTTCCACATTGAAATGGTTCGTTTGACGCTTGATTAGACCGAAAATTAATTTTCTGAACTGGGATCGGAAGTACAGTAGTTTTCCCGGGATAACTTAGATTCATGGTGATCTTTCGTGAAATGTTTACACGGTATTGGCGTCCAATTAGTTTCCATTGCATCTAAGGCATCCTTCTACTAAAAAAGGAATTTTTCGAAAAAAAAGACCCACTCATCACAGTCGTGTCCTAATTTTGCGTCAAGTTCTCATTGTCTTCATTCAAAAGGGGTTGGCGCAAATAATACTTGATTTCCCGTGCTGCAAATGTTGCATTTCAAATTTATCCAAAAATAAACCAAGTCTCTAATACTTTTAGCTTCAAATCATTTAAAGCTTTAAAAAATCATTTTCTGTTGAGTTGAAATTTCAATTCAGGCGGCCAAAAAATGTGGAAAGTCCTTTTCTGACGCTGTGGTGTAATTTACAAGGGTTTCTTCAAAGAATATATTATAAATTTTTTTATAGAGAAAACACCTCGTATTTAAAGACAAGGAAAAGCCTTTTTGCATCGTCACTATAGCTCATGCCTGGGGTTGGGGTGCTGGTACAGTAATTTTTAAATGCCCCGGACGGTAAATCACTTCACTGAAGGAACCATGCCTTGGTCCAGATCAAGTGAAGCTTTACTATGCAAGTCCAGGGGCAATTTTGTTTCCTTTTCATGGATCCCCTCAGTTGAATGTTGCCCATTTATCAAGAGCGTCTCGGACGGCGTCCCAAGTCTATTCACCCGAGGTGCTCAATTTGTGTTCTTGCCTCGGTGATGAGAAAAGAAGGATTTTTCGATTAGTTCAAGATCAGTTTTTAAAAGAATCAGTCCCGCCGACCCTGCGCAAACATTCATATTCAAATACGCATATTATTTTTTGATTTAAGGTATAAGTTTTAGTTGAACCTTCCGAAGTGTATTTAGGTTAAAATCATCAAATTATGTTATTTGCGACAGAATTGTATGAAACAATAAGTAACGTCGTGAGTAGATTAAATATCGATAATTTATTTACAAAAGTTCACATTTGAGGATATACGAGGTACTGTAATTTAAAAAGCCACCGTGAAATACTATATCTGGTGCCGGGATTAGATTTTCTTGAAAGTTGATTAGATTTTCGCATCGACAAATTTCACTCTTCGCAATCGGAAATGTTTTCACGAAGCAACAAACCGACGAAGAAAATTCGATATGATAAGAAAAATGATCCCATATTGTTTTGAAGTGCAAATTCTTGAAAGTGTAAATTTAGCGCTTTCCTTGGGTTCAATTAACAAAGTAGTTGAGACAGTGAACATTTCCGAAATGTCAAAGAGTTGAAATAGCAACACATCCTTTCGAATATTTCAATGCATTTGTACATCCCTACAGATTGATAATTGCAAGAAAAGAACCAATAAGGGGCAACGTTTTCATTGAAGACTTTTGACATTCCACGATGAAAGGGATATCATTAAAAAAAAATCCTAAGGTGATAAAGTGCTTCAAAGCTTCATGTAAAAATGAATCAATTATGGTTCCGTATGCATTAAAATAAGTTTCCTTCTGAAAAATCACCACACGCCAATTATACAAACGTTGAGGGGCTGAAAATCCTGAGATTGGAAAAATGGTGATATAGGACAGAGTTTCTTCCATGATTCATTACTTTGGTGGGTATTTGTTTCAGATCATCTCGTCCTTATACTTTGTGAGTTCCCCCTGCGTGTCTCTAGATTTTTGTTACCTGGTGCGTTGGGTCGTGAGGAGATTTATGCCCAACAGGCCCAGCTTTCAGGGCTCGGACGGATGGGTTCAATTGCCTTTTCCTCCAGGGTACACGAACCTCTGTGAGCCGGGCTCTTCTTGCTGGGCTTCCCTTTTGTTTATTTTCCTCTCCAAGTTTTTAAGGCCTCTATCAGGGCATTCCCCCCGGGGGTCAAGCCGTGACCAGCTTCGCACCCGACGTCAATTAATCCCGCCTTAAAGCTCCCTTCGCGCACTTCGGAGCACCTCTTCGCAGCATGCGTGAAAGATTCGATCTTTTCAAGAATGAGACGCACAAAAGTCAAGAAAGACCCACGATGTGGCGCATATTTTCTTTTATAGGTATTTAACAATATTCATATACATACAGCCTATAAAAGACTAGGTATTTCTAGAGGAACTCGCCTGTATGAAAGCACCAGCAGCAGCCGAACTTTTGGATCATTACCATATGTATGCCAGGGATGCTTGGTTCATGAGTTTTGAGATTCAAACGCGTGACACCTACGCGGTAACTACGAATTTATTCCAGCAAAGTTATTTTTTCGTGAAGTTTAAGTCATATAATGAGTGAATCTGATTTGGAGCAATACAGTTAGTTATTCAGAAAACAATTGCATTTCAGGGTGTAACAAAAGCCATGAGGCTGACACTCAGCAGCAAGCTTGCATTGGGATTTGGGCTACATTCCGCTTCTCAAAATTTTTTTCTCACTTGTCATCAAATAGTTTCTCTCAATCCTTCTTGTTAGCAGATAATGCATGAGGCAGTTGAGTGTATTGTACTTTTACGTTCCCAATGACATGCTATTCCAACAAGTCATGCACTGCCAAGTTATGCAACTTGTCCCAAAACCAGGTCAGATCCAGGTCTGACCAGCATCACCAAATCCATACCTTGAAGTATATAAGAATACATGTTCTCCGTTGTATGCAATGCTCATTGCTCTCTGGACATTGTCTGAATACCTGGCAATAATAAGGATAAGAAATCTCACTGAATGAAAGTGTCAGACCTAGGATAATGCAATATGATGGTAAAGTATTAAGTATAAGAACTCAGGAGACGTCTTGATTGTTTTATATTTTTGAAATTCATTCAAAAGTCTGACAACACACTTCTCAACCCCTCTTCCTGAATTATGGGAATGCGGCACTCTCTTAAGGGCAGCATGAAGTTTGCTATTAAAATTAATGGTCATGCACCCCATTTATCCCTAAAAACTGCTCTGGAGAACAGCAGCTTAGTGGAAGTTATCTATGACTTTTTTGTAGAAATTTTTAATGCAAATGATTTTTGTGACCATGCAGACTTGGGACTGAGAAATTAAAGATAATTTGAAAGAAAATTGAATAAGCTTTTGTTTATGGTTATTTAAAATGTTTGTAGCTCAATTTGTTGCTGAGCTATTGTCATGCAAAAATTGGTTCCCTTTTTTTGGCCCACCCTGTATAAAACTATGAAAAGCAGCATCTTTTTCAAAATATCTGAATTCTTCTATAAATCTAAAAAAGCCAGAAATAAGAGAGAAATTTCAATAGAAACCCGCGATTGCTCATATGAGCAATTCTATTGAAATAATGTTACATGTGTCACCTGAATTCATATGCATATTCAAATAAGTGTAACATTTACCAAATAAAGAGAATTTCCCCCAAAGTATAGAGTACTTTACTGTAATTAGCTCGTCATTTTTATGTGATTTCAATTTGAAAAATTATCGTGGGATCATGGAATTAACTTTTGGAATTGAATTTGATGCAAAGTAATTCTCCAGGTTTTTAAATGTATGCGCTTCCGTCTTTTGAATTCACAATAATTAACAACTATGCAAAATTATATGCTTAAAATACGAATCTATTTTAAAGCTGTTCTCTTCGAAGTACAGCAATATATTTTTATACTTATAGTTCATGCTAGAATATAATTGAGCTTTGGGATTTATTTGTTTGCTCAACTCGTAACCAAATGTATCTAGCTTTAAATTGCTTATGTTCCATGTCCTTGCTAATTTGATAATTAGTTACAGTTATTGTATTTGGTTTTTTTCGGTCAATTTCATATGACACCGATTTAGGTTAGGTGGGTTTTTGGGTTTCCATCTTTGGAAACAGTGGCACTTGACATTATTTATAAAGATTACAGGAAGCTAGAATCACAAAAGCAACAATTATATTAAGAGAAAGAATTTTCATAATATGAAAGGAAAAATTAATTTTCCTGCTTGAGTAAAAAGGAAACTGCAAAAATTAAAAAACCTTTTATTTAATCGCGCAATAGCTTTATTCATATTTTCAAAGCTATGACTCCGTTTGGAAACCCCGAGAAAATGTGAATCATCACAAAATAGGCAAAATCAATTCAGCGCGCAATTATTTTTTCTGCATTTGATGGCTAATATTTGGTTTCAGTGATGAGAGTTTCGTAATTTAGTATTGCTAAAAATTCTGATCTTTATTTTGCTATCGGAAATTTCTGAAAATTGATAAAAGTTCGAATCTTTTGAACCATCTTCCGGATATCCTTTGTCTCATGAATCATATAGTGACCTTATTCAAATATTCTAGCATCGAAAGCAAAAGTTCCCTGCGACTGAAAATACAAAACAAAATAAATTGCACTCACAGAAAAGGGCGCGTCCCTGGACTTGAAAATTCTTGATCACTTCCGCTTCACGATAATCTTATCCCCAGTGTTCATGAGCTTCTTTTTTTTCTGAGAAAAATGGAAGAAACCTTCAGCAATTTTCCCCACTGTGTGAAAATAAAGTGCCCTTTCCCTTCACCTATTCCCGCGTCATTTTCTATCTGTTCTTTCCCCGGAATGGCTTTCCAGGTAAGGAATCTCCTCAGATGCTTTTTTTTTGTTTGTTTTACTTTGTGTTGTTGTTCTGGTTGCCTTTTGCGAACAGGGCAGGGATTGAGTATAAATAGTGCCTAGTGGGCTTGGCTCCAGGGCACTCGTGGCTTGACGGTGACCGACGTTGAACTCGGCTCATGATGCTGCGTTCAACATTAGAAAAGGGCACTCGTCCACAATTTCTATGCTTTCTTTCAGCTAAAGTCCATTAGATATTTGAATAAATACCATTACAGTGCTTCCCCAGAAAGTTTTTTTTGGCACTTAGTACCTGTCCTCCTAAAATTCCTAACTTTAACTAGCCACAAAGAACTACTCCAACAGGTGTAACATGCGCCGGAATTGCTAAATAAATCGTCAAATGGTCTGTTTAGATAGTGCGGGGTGTTTCTGTGTGACATTGTCAAAGACTTTTAAAATGATTTGATTGCTCAGCAGTGAGTGGCGAGAAAATTAAAAGCCCCAACTGTGGTTAAACTCCAGAGTTCATGTCCAAATTCGATTTTTAAAATCCGTTCTTCACCTGGAACTATTTTAATTATTGCGAAATATTTGTTTGCGGGTGTTTTGGATTTTTTCCGCGCAGAATTTGTATATAAGTTGCTTGTCCAACAAACGAAAATAAAAAATTCTAGGGATAGCATATCATGAAATAATCAGAAACTGTGGAAGTTACAGCATAGGTAAGCTTTGTGCACAGAAATTCCGATTTGGAAATTGAGAAAATAAAATTGAAAGCATGATAATTGATAAAACGACTTCTCTCCGACTGATTGAACTTAAGCTGTAGAAATTAACTGGGAGAACCTTTTGTGTAAGATTTGAGAAATCTCCAAGATATTTCATAAAATTTGAACCATGTGACTGAACCACATTGTGTTCTGCTACAATTGAGCATACCTTATTTTTGGAAGGGTTAATTAGTGATTAAAGTAAAAAAAAATAGTGCCAGATTGCGGTTAAGAACATTTTTAGAGCCACAGAGCTCAAGTATTCCTCACAAAAACCAGAAGATAATTGTGAAAATATTCAGCCACGTGATGATTATTTTTAGATGATCGGTTGATTTTCATTTCGCCCCTGTTCCGAAGCTTCCATCTAATTTTAATATGCTATATTTATATTCTGGGAAGTATTTATTCATCTCCTTATGTTTCCATGTGCCCCACTTCTTCGGAATAAATTTTTAAAGGCATTATGAGCAGATGGTAAAAATTATGGCTTAATTAAAAAATGTGTGACGACTGAAAATGCCCATGAATGTCCTGCTAAGATTTCCAAAAATACTTCGTGGCTCACTGAATTGCGTATAGAAAGTGTAAAAAGTGACTGAAACCAGTTCAGTGACGGTTTATAGTCGCTTTGCAGTTAATGATCTCAAAAGCAATCATCGATGACCCGAGTCATCCGACATCTCGGCTGAACCGGTTTTTATGAGCGTTGTAAATAACAGTTCAGTGATGAACCTGATTTTCCAGTGGCTTCATTAGGCCATTGACAGTTCGGTTCAATAGCCTTCTGCTCCGAATGTTGCTTATGAGCTTGATCAATTTATTGAGTCGGTTCCAATCCTTGATAAATTTCGAGTACGATACATTGTCATAATGAGAAACACTGGCGTACACGCGGAGCTGAGGCACCATTTGTCATCAATTGTAAGGTTTATGAATTCGGAGAAAAGCGCGTTGCAGATTTATTTGAATTTAACATTCCGAGAATCGAAAATTTTTCTTGGTCGAGTTATTGAGTACTTTCGAATTCTCGTGATAATGCATGAATCAGCAGTGTTATTCTAGATAGGGAAGCAGACGCAGTGGAATTGTGTTATACTATGAATGTTAATTTTTCGTAACACATAAAATCCTTTAATAATTATTAAAGCACAAGGCAAAAAGAGCCAGTGGCAATAAGTGAAGCGACACCGAGTAGAGCGTGGACAAGCCGTCAAAGGACCGAAAACAACTGATGAGGAGATTTCTTCTCTTCTTGACTTGAAAGTAAAAAAGAAAAGAAAAAAATTACGAATAAAAGCCAGGTCTTGGGGAAAATAATTTCGAAGATACCGTGCAAAAAGTGGCATCTGTTCAAAAGGGTTTCGCCAAATGTCTTGATGATGCAGTACATCCCAGTTAGGTTGATCACCCTGAAAATGTTTATGCAGGCCAGTGCAAAAAAAAAAGGTTCAGATTTCAAAGTTTGAAAAAAAAAGAATTTTCATTCGACGGCTTTTGAAAACTTCCTTTTTTATTTTTGCCAATCCGTCAACATTTTACCGGAAACTTAGAAAAAATCAAGAAAAATTAAGCTTTGATCGATGGTGGATTCCTGATGCGAGAATAATTTGACTATATATTCGCAATTTACTGCATTTTGAACCTCAGATACACGGCAGGAACCCGTTTAATCTTCGAAGGAAATCACAAGACAACTTTTTGTATCACCTATATTTCATTCCAAGCCGCGTGATCACATTACAAAGATTGAAAACATGAGATAAGCATTTCTGAAAAAAAAAAATAGATGTTATCCAATTCGGTAGTTCGAATTTCACTCCGTAAATAACCTTCCAAGAAAAAATGATGATACTGAAGCATTTAAAAATCGGTCTAATGTTTTCTTGTCCGCACTTCGGTTGCATGAAATTATTATATATGAACGATAGAATACCGTAATAATAATCCTCTGTCGTTTTATTGTTGATATTAATTATCGAAATATTTTTGTAATGCAAGTTTATTTACGATTTGCGGTACTTTATTGTGGACTTTGTGTCAGTCCTGAGGTGCTTCTCGAATCCCGATTGCTTAAGAGTAAAGTACATATATAAGCCCAGTTCACAGCAATTATTCCCATCTCCAAACATTCATTCATAGTGGCTTTCAAATACTTTTGCAGAGGGACATTTTTGCACTTGGCATCAAGATGCTCAGATTCCCTTTGTTCGCGATCTCGCTGATCGCGCTGAACAGCTTGCTCACTCCGGCATTCGCTGGCTGGAGCGCCAAGGGCGGCGGCGGCGGCGGCGCACGGTGTGCCGGCGGTGGTTGCGCCAGGAAGCTTTCTGCCACTGGCGGCTCTGGTTCTGGAGGATCCCCCTACTGGTGGCAAGACTCGAAACCGTTCAGCAATCCTGATCATGGATCCGGTGGTTCTCATCAGCCATCAGGGAATTATCCTCAGCAGCAACAGCAGCAGCAGTTCCAGAACACCTGCAATCCGGGCTACGAATGCGTCTCTTACGATCGCTGCGACAATGGTATCGTGGTACCACACGGAAGTGCCGGGCAAATCGACTTGCGGGGAAAGCCCAACAAGGTTCGTCTCGAAACATACAGTACTAATCTATGCTTTACTACCGTATTTTATACTACTGTATTTTATGTTTATTGCGATGAATCCTATTAGCAAACAATAGCTGTTCGTTTTTGAAACGAATAATACAATGTACTTGTATGTTGGACAGTTAAATATCCCGTATTGTTTGATGATTTCTCAATTATTAGTAAGCATGAACTGTTACTCCTCATCATGGTTTGAGTGTGGAATGCAGTCAACGTTTGTGTGCGACATCTGTGCCCAACACCATATGATCCACCCCATACCATTTTATGGTACTAATGGAGTTGACACTCTGTTCTATTATGAAGATGAACATAGACCAGAAAGATTTGTTCAAGGATCCGTTCAAGGGAAACATTTTTGGCACTATACGAAAGGGTGTCACTCTTTCTTGTGCATTAAATTAATAGTGGACTATCAATAACTAATTTACGTATTTAGTAACAAGTAAAGCTGTCAGGAAATGAAAGTACTCTTGGGTAGTGTCTGTGTAAAATCTTACATGGCATGGATTGGGTGAATGATTTAGTAAGACAGTTAGGAATGAAACATGAAACGAATATGGAAGTACAGTACAGAACAGTGCTGTAATTTGTTTTGACTTCAGTGCAAAGAGGACAATCGACAAAGAAGGCACATGAATACTGCTTGTGTGTCTTAAAATATTCAAAATCTGCCTTTAGCTTTAAAAACTCTGCCTGCTCTTGGTTTGAACTGAAGTCCCATTAATAATAAAATTATTAAATGTGGATGTATTCCTTTCAATTGCGGGGGAAATTTTCATTGATTAATGATACTGTATTTGCATGTTATGAGTTCAAATAAGTCGACTATGAGAAATGCTATCAAAGTCCCCTGGAAACTTTTAAAATGGGATTTCTTATATAATTGAAAAGGAATTAAACATTCTAATTTTAAATTTCAGAATATAAATGCTCTTGGCAGTCCTTGTGGCAACAACCAAGTATGCTGCAAATCAGACAGTCAATACAGTCCATCAGCCAGTAACCAGCAGTTCAGTGGGAATAGCCAACCACAGCAAGGATGTGGTAATGGAGGATGTGGATCCAGCAACCAACAGTACCAACCTGCTGCACCACAAAGCTCTGGCTGTGGTGGAGGGAATGGATGCAATGGGCAACAGCAGGTTCTTCAGCAACCTTTCCAACAACAGCAGCCACAACAGCAATTTGGCGCTCCTCAGCCGTCAAGGCCAGCAGGTGGTGGAGGTNCACCAAGTGGTTGTGCTGGTGGATCATGTGGTGGTCAGAAGCCTCAAGTGTACCAACCTCAACAACCTCAACAGCAGTTCAACCCAGGAAGTTCTGCACCAAGTGGTTGTGCTGGTGGATCATGTGGTGGTCAGAAACCTCAAGTGTACCAACCTCAACAGCAGTTCAACTCAGGAAGTTCTGCACCAAGTGGTTGTGCTGGTGGATCATGTGGAGGACAGCAACCTCAAGTGTACCAACCTCAACAACCTCAACAGCAATTCAACCCAGGAAGCTCTGCACCAAGTGGTTGCACTGGTGGATCATGTGGTGGCCAGCAACCTCAAGTATACCCAGGTGCACAACCTAGACCACAAGTCCCAGTACCAAGTGGATGCACTGGAGGGTCTTGTGGAGGTCAGCGACCCCAAGTTCAACCACCTAGACCACAAGTTGGCCCATCATCTCCAAGTGGTTGCTCTGGTGGATCATGTGGTGGCCAACAACCTCAAGTGTACCAACCTCAGCAACCACAGCAAATTTCCCAGTCAGGAGGATGTGGTGGACCTGGCAATCCTTGTGGAGGACAAGGACAACAAACATATCAACCTCAGCCTAAACCCAGTCCCGGCATTGGTGGACAGCAACCTTTCCCAGCAAGACCAGGGGGTTGCAGTCCTGGAGCCCCTGGATGTGGGCAACAGAGACCTCAGGTTCAACCAGCAAGGTGAGTAGTGTTGAAGATTCCATGATTTCCATCAGAAGGTTAACTTAAGTAATATACACCTGCCTTTGAGCATTTGACATCATATTTATGTTTTTCATGCATAAATAATTATCCAATTTCTTTAACCCTTCCCCAGCAGACTCAAGAATTTTTTTTGAAAATTTGCATCTCAGAAATTTCAAAATTTAAAGAAGATGATCTGGCGCATGAAGTCCAAGTCCTGAAATACAGTATTGGTATTCTTTCGTTTTGCATAAAAAATTTCTGGACAAGCAAAGACAATAAGCTCTCCCATGGCCGTTTTGGTTTTTTTAAACCTCTTGGCTAGGATTAATTTATTGCAAAAGCCTGGAATTCTAAATTTATCTTATTTGACTTATCTGGAGATTTCCAGACTATCATCTCCATGTTAGTCAGTTTCAGTTTTGAGACCCTTTAGATAAACTAAAGCGCACTAGTTTAAAAGAAACTGCCCATGATGCACTGCTGTTGAATGGACAACTGCCCAATGCCATAAAAGGGTTGGAAAAACACAGTTTTAAGAGTAAAAAAAAAGTTATGTTTGAAAAAAAACATATGTTCATTAAACTCATCAGGTGCTTTGTGTATATATGCATATGAATAACATTGTATTTTTTTTATTTACAGGCCTGTTCAGCCACCCAACATTGCTAGACAGCCCTTTCCTTCCGCTGCTTCCGCTGGTGGCAATCAGAATTCCATCAACGCAAACTTTAAGCCATACACTGGACCCACTGCTGCTCCAGTGCCCTTTGCTGGATGCTCTGCTGGTTTGCTTTGTGTTGAAAACAATCTCTGCAA